CTTCCTTCCCCGCTCGCCCCCTCCGCCCTGCCTGCCCCTGCCCCGCGGTCGGGTCCCACCGCTTGTGCTGCAGCTGCCGCTGCTTTGGACACTGGTGCAGGTGCTAGGCTGCCGGCTTATGGCAAGCATGGGGTCGGGCGGGAGGGAGGGAGGGCTGCAGCTTGGCGCGTGGGGAGGCTGGGCGGGGGACAGGGCCTGTTGGTGCAAGTTCTCTCCCCCTACCACCTTACTCCACATGCTGTCCATTTCCAAGTCCGTCAGAACGTTCTGCGCCAGAAATTGGTCCATGCCGCCCACCTCTCCGGCTCCAAACACGTCCTCGTCCAAACCACACAGAAGGTCGGCTTCATCGTCCGCATCCATGAATTGGAGGGGCACGCCTTCAGGCACGAGGGCCGGTGGTGAGGATGCCATGGCTGTAGAGGAAGCCCCGGGCGCACTGTCTAGTCTACGCCTTACTCTTATACCTAGTAGTCATAGCCCCAAATTCTAAAGTGATAACGGCCTAACCTGTGGGGATGAAATTCAACGCGAGGAAGGAAAGCCATCGATTGATTTTATTAGATTCAATATGCCTCAATTTTATGTCTACACGATGTTACGTGCCCATCTCTGGCCCACAGAGTCGAAATCCATCTTTGAAAAAGTCATTCTGGAAGGATTGAACCCCTTTTTGTACACCGGAAAGGGGGTGTATTACTTGTTTGGAGAGGAGAGCGCTATTGCAAATGCGAGCTGCCAAGCAGCGGTGCAAAATCGGAGCAATTGTTTGCATGCAATGATTTTTCATACGCCATGGATGTTGTCAGTACAGCAGAAAATACAGTTACGCCCTGATTGCAAGCGCATATGCATTTTTACAGCGTTGCGCTTTCTTGCATCACGAGATGCGAAGGGACTTGAATGACCTCCAGAAAACCTGACAAAGTCGCCGCAACGAGCACAAAAACCACACCTACAGCCACGTATAGCGTATCGTACATAATTAAGTGATGATAAAGTAGTGCTTCCAGCCATGCAGGCGTCGACCCGGTCGTTTTAATAGCCGAGAAAGGGGCAGGAAATGATGCTTCTCGGGGCAGCAGAAGCGCCGAGGGCGAGGGGGAAGGAATGGGGAAAGAAGGGAGAGAGGGAGATAATGTTGACCGTCCCCACGACATCCCGCACGCCTTCGCATGCCACGCGAAGAGTTTGTCGTCGTACCAGTTTGGCAGACGTCTAATCACTTAGTGCGCTCGTTGACGCCGACGGGGGCTTTGCACGGCATTGACTTGGGAGTGAGGAGGAGGTTAGTCATATGAACGCCCGGTTGTCATCGAGCGTTGAGAGGTCGCCATTCATATCATGTACGCCTTCCAAGCTCACAACATACTGGCTGCATACTGCAGGGCATGCTCACTCTAGGATAGAGAGAAGCGATTCTTTTGTGGTGCCAGTGCGGTGAAGACGAGGGAAACAAGGGCCTGCATGACGGACAACCTCTCCATCGTGCATAGCCCTTTTCCTTGCTGTCTCTCGTCGAATTATAGGGACTGTTTCGCTGGAGAGGGTGCACTTATTTGTCTGCACGCTATACAGAGACGCTGTTACCTGAAGAGGCGCTCGTGTCGGAGTCAATCTGCATTTTTCTCGCGGTACAATATTTGTGGTTGGAGGCCCTTAGTCTTCATGAAGGCTTTCGACCAATACCGTTCGAGACACCAATCTGAGATGCTATGGCATGTTCTTGGGTTTATGTTGATGATATCACATGGCAACGCCGTTCATTGTCCGTGTGAGGAATGCGTCGGTAATGCTTACCATTTTTGCAGCGGCAGTCATGCAGACGCGAACATGGGAGACCCTGTTATCTGCTCTTTGTCCCCATGGACGCGGTGGCATACCTTGCTTGTCGCGTTTGTACAGGAATGTGTATGTGTTGCTCCCCTCCAGCATTGTGCAAGGCATGCACAGATGGTCCTATCAATGGGATCTGGCCTGGCCGAGTGCCATTGTCAGACGTGCTCCTCAAAGAATATGTTCATCTCCTCACAGGCGCGAGGACAGCGTACGTGCCGAAACACCCCGGATTTGTCGCACCGCCTCCTTTCATCGAGAGCAGAAGCTTCTTTGGCCTTTTCCGACCCCCTGTGCCCGATCTTCTTTGCCTCATCTTTCCCTTCCTTCCCCCCTCGGCAGAGGGAAATCTGGACTTTCCACGCGAGGACAAGATTACGTGAAAATGGGGGACATTCCACCGAACCAGACGTTATACGTGCAAAACCTGAACGAAAAGTTGAACAAAGTTTCCCTGAAAAAACTCTTGTACCTCGCCTTCTCCGCCTACGGGCGTGTCATCGACATTGTCGCCTGCCGTGGCGAGTCCCTCCGGGGACAGGCCTGGGTCGTGTTTGACTCCGTGGGCAGTGCCACGACTGCGTTGAGGAGCTTGCAAGGTTTCCCCTTTCTGGGCAAACCGATGCGCATCCAGTTTGCGAAGGGCAAGAGCAACGCGGTGGCCCTCAGGGAAGGCACCTACGAGCCAGGGAGCAAACGGCGCAAGCGAGGGGAGAAAGACGGAAAGAAGAAGGAGGAAAGCCAAAAGCTCAGCGGATCAAGAGATGAGGGGAAGCGAGGAAAAGAAGCAGAGGCGGAGGAGCACGTCGCGGGAATGGCACTGGCGGCAGGGGAAGTGAGCAGCATGCTGATGGCCCAGGAGCTACCTACAGAGTGCACGGAGGAGGTAAGGAGGGGAAGACGTGTGCAGCTGGGACGATTATCTGAAGCCGGGAGCAGATACAGACAGTACGATGAGATTAGATTGTGGGCGAAATGGTCGAGGTATTTTGCTTCCCATGCCATATCTGGCATGGGTCCCTCTCACCCTTTCCTTTCTTTCCCACCCTGCACACAGATGTTGGCTGTCCTGTTCAGACGTTTCGCCGGCTTCCACGAGATTCGATTGGCGGGTCAACGCGGCATTGCTTTCATTGAATTTCGGGACGAAGTATCTGCACGTACCGCCTTTCAAGCGTACAACGGATTCAAACTCTCTCAAACCGACGCGCTCAAATTGACTTACGCGAAGAGGTGATACGGCAACATGAGGGGACGTGAGCGGTTAATAGAGGGGTGTGGATGAAGTGAGGAACAATACATGTCATAGTCATAATAAATCGGCATGCCTCAACGCAACAAGCGACAGATGAAGCCATGTCTTAGCTATGAAGGATATCAGCGTGTCCTTGGCCCATTTCTTTACTAGCAGTTGCCTTCCTGATCGTGTATGGAGCAAGCATGGCTTCCAGCTTGTTGCTTTTAAGATCTAGCGTGAAAAATATGTTAACTTTCAAAAATTGAGTCTTAGGATGGAGACTACACTTTATGCACGCAAATAAAGCCTCGCCATGTTTTAAATAAAGTTTGTACTGATCCCCCTACGCAGCAAAAGGTTGCATAACGTGGACTTTATTTTACCCTTATCGAAAAGGTTTCGGGTGATGTCGGCATAGATTTATTTATCGAATTTCTTACCATACTTATGACAGCAAAGAGGTGGTCGATGAAGAATAATTCCACAACTCGACAAAAATGACTTCGTTTGCTAAGGTTGATTTCCACCGAATAGCAGTGAGCACATCCTCTCAATACGTCAGCGTTGATAGATATGCAGAAGCGACGAAGATACGTTTGACGGAAGAATAGCTCAGTGGTTGCTCATCTCGTGCGTGAAAATGGCTCGGAAGCCACACGCCGTCGGGCCGCGTGAGAGTATCGGATTGCAGTGGTTCGAGTCCTCAGGGAGTCGCGTGCAATTCTCCGCCTGTCCCTGGTTCCAGCTTCGAGGACGTGAGCACCGTCACACGTCTAGCAGCTCACAGTGCGACTCCGGGTTCTTCCTCATTCTTTTTACGATGGTTGTGTTAAAAGCGAATGGATGCGTGACCTGCTTCTCTATCAGTACCCGATCACCGAGATGGCGCGGGTGGGACATGCTACCCGTTCGGACGGGCCATAAGGGCTGCATTTACGGCACGTAAAAAAAAACATCACAACCACGGTGCTGAACGATTCTGTTTGTGCCAAAGCGGTATCAAACGTCAAGAAAATAATGCTCTCGCCAAATGTGGCGTATCTATCTAGCGGCCTGGTGTGGGCATAGATTCGACGCTTTGTTGTTGCGCGTGGCTTAGTATGCTTATGTTCATTCTCTTATCTACAGGGCACTCTTGAAGAGGAATGCAAAGACCACAATCTAATCACTTGCTTGCTATATCTCTGGTCTCGAGGACGTCAAAGTCTCCTTGAAAGCGGCATTCCACCAACAACACCGGTCCCCCCACAAAGGCTTTCAAGGCTAAGGACACGGCTTTCTCGACCGGCTGTCCAGTTTTCGACACGAACAAGAAGATCAGGGGCACGCTCAAGAGATTTGCCAGTATTCCCACCTCAGCAGCGAGCTGAATATAGGACAGAAGGGAGGGCGCAAGGAAACCACGATCAAGCGCGCCTGACGTTGCTTTGCCCCAAGCCACGGCCACGTCGAGGAGGAGCAGCGCGCTGTACAGCTTACTCGGGTTGGAAAGCGCCAAGTATTTCCAAACATCGCTCTTGAGCTTGGGTGCGGGCGAGGCAGTAGTGTCCAGTTCCCCTTTCTTCCACTGGGCGGGATCCAAGCCGTCTGTCTCGTAGCGCCAGGATTCAGGGCCTGTCCTGAGAACCTCTCTGCCCAACGCTGCCACGGGTGCCTGGCCCTTCCGTCCTTCCTCCCCACCGGCTTTGCCCGCCGAGGCCGACACTTTGTCTGACAAAGTACCCAACTTAGCCTCCAAAGCCGCCCCCAGGGCCAGGCCGCCTGTCTGTTCCTCCCGGGGGGGATGGTCCCCGTTGACGGCGAAGATGGCCGCAAAGGCCCTAAAACCGCCTTGCTCCATGATAGGCAGTACCAGATAATCAAAGCCGTATCGGCGGAGGTCGCTGTACAGGTCTCTATCGATCAAGGCACCCCGGCGTCGGATCCGTTTCTGCTCTTCATCGGCAAGGCCCAGGTAGTTCCGGAGGGGATTCCCGGATTTTTCTTCCAAAAGCCGGCGCTCCTCAGCCGCTCGGACCGTGAAGAAAACCTCCAGCTCATGTTTGATATTTTCCACGTCGGACCAGTATCCTTCAGGCGCCCCGGGGCCCATGCGCTCCTCCTCCCTGACCGCTCTCCCTACCCCATCGCTCGCGTCCACAATAGGATCGTCTGCGGACGACTGGGATGAGAAGAAGGCTTGTGACACGAGCCTCGATGGTCGTGGGAGTGCATAGGCGGGCCCGTGGGCGGGCTGAAGGCATTGTAGGAGATGGCGGGGGACGAGAGAGGGGGACGAGACAATGGACAGGAGGGGCCTCCATGCCAGGGTACAGCCAGCAATGGACGCGAGTAGGAAGAGCGGGCGTAGTATTTTTCCTACTGGACGCTTATAACATCTTGGGCTTTGAGGAAGCATGTGTATTGAGATGGCGACGGCAGCTCAAAGTGCGTTTAATCACGTTGCAAAGTTAGGAGGTTTAGCTGAGCCGCAGTTTCTGCCGTAAAAATCCCACAGCTGTCCACCTTGACAACTATGTGCACGAATATTGTTTGAAAAGGCTTGCCATTAATCATAACCAAAACATACGTCGAAATTGACATGAACATTGTGTCGAACACTCGTTGCGAGTAATTCAATTCTCAGACTTTACGTGGGAGGACCCGATAGGATACCCTCCTAGCGCGACCTGCCCCTAGCAAAGGGTGCAGTTGCTGAGCTGCAAGATCACAAATAGTACTGTATTGATTAAAACAACATAATTTTTCACAATACTCTCCCTAGGGCATGGAAAAGTGTTCGGAGCCGTCGAGACGCTTTATTACCGTCGCAACAGGAGCCCATCGTTGATAAATTGATGTCGGCTCCGTAATACTGCACGATGATGTACGGGAGGTGAATTCATGGCAGCACATACTCATAAAAAGCCAAATGCGACAAAGGCGGCAGTGGCCTAGTTGATGTCTGGTTCATCGACACGTCCGCGAGTAGCAATATCCACTTGGCAAGTCTCGCCAATCCTGTGAGAACCCCATCCTAGTCCCTTTCAGGCAACACTGACATGGACAGAGACACTCGCACACCGCATTTTACTGAGATGATTCATAAAGCTTTGTTAGAACCGTCGAGGCGAAAAAGATTCTGCTTGAAAAGCTGGTTTTGGTTCATCTCCCATGTGTGTAATACATCTATTCTGGCTGGTAACCTCCCCCCGGCCTTGGTGGAAAACTGTATCATTACCATGATAGATTTTCGGTTTTAATAACTCTAAGTATACTTTTGGTTGTTCTTTATCTATCATACGTATATTCTAGTCCTATTCGACAATGATTCGGCTTGTGTCAGAACAATCCACACTCCTCTGTACCTGTTTACGTTCCCTAAAATATGCCACTGGTAAAATACCAACTAATGTCTTTTCTTAGAAACACGCATGAAAAATTACGATACGAAATTGTGAGACCATTTTCAATATCGTTGCATTATAGTTCGGCATTGCTTCAAGCAAGCAAAATGAATTGAGGTAGAATTTCACAGCATATAGACATGAGAAAGAACGAATAATCTATTTTCCAATACCTTAATTTGAAAGGTTGAACGAGCACCTTGATTTGTGCTTAGCAAGCACACAACATAAATATTTTTTGCTCCATGCCATTTCTCGCCCTAAGGTACATTATTTGGTTTCCTCGGAAAAGGTGCCATCCTATTTTTAAAAAAGGGTCACTGGATTTACAAAGAGAGCTTTTTATCGGCTATTTGACCTAGTCACACGCAGTAGAGACGATGCGCAGGGAAAAATCTAGCGATCAAGGGAAACGTTGCCAAAAACGGGTACCAGGGTCATAAATGTCCTCCCAGGCTCGCAGTTGTGCAATCACCGACGCTTTTTCTCTCACAGTCAATGCAGCCCGTTGCTTGTACAGTTCGTTGGTCAACATCATTAGAAATGCCCGGGTCGGACGGGGCTGAAGCATCAACGATGTTCTTCGCAGCGATTTCTGTCGCCTGACCGTGCATTGCTCTTGTCTCCATGCCCCTTCCGTCATGCTTCTCACGGGCAGCTCGTACAGCAAGAATTTGACCAAACTCGAGGGTGACATGGATCGCAGCCGCCGACGGACATCTTTGATCAGAGGCCATTGGGGCGATTTTCGGCGGTCCCGCTGATTACTGACGTCTTCCTCGTGCTCTCCATCTGCCGGTGCACGGAGGGTAAGCACGGCCAGATCGGAGAGTGATAAAGATTGACTGATGTGAGGCTTGCCTGCGGCCTCTACGATGCCTGTTATCAAGCGCTCTCTTGTCGGCTGGGTCGTAAGGAAGGATGTTCCTCTTCTTATTGCTTTAATTCCGTCCTGGTACGGACTGAAGGAAGAAGGAAGGAACGAGGGCAGGCCGGCATCGGAGCTAGGAAGAGCATTGGCATGGCAAGCTCTCGAATCAAGGGAGGTGGAAAGCACGTAGCCAGCTTCTTCAAAAAGTGCAATGGCCCGAACGAAGGAGACAAGATCCTGCGGTGAAAGTAAGTGGAGTTGGCCCAAGCTACCTTGAACGAGCGCATCCACGGCAGCGAAAACCCCCTCGGTGGAGGGTAAAATGGACGTGGCAGCGGTGGAAAATGGGGAAGTTAGCTCCCAGCGCTGTGAGATTGGCATCAAGGGGGAGTCAGGGAGCATGCGCGACGAATCTGTCCGTGGGAGGGTAGCAGGAGGCGTGGATATCCGTAGACAAATCGTCGTGAGGCTTGTCAGCACCGACACTAGCGCCGGCGCGTCCAACTGCCCTCGGGAGATCATCGTCTGAATCCGCGAGGCCGACACCGGCAAGGACCAAGAACGGTACCCAAGCCTGGAAATGGCGTGAAGGAAGGTCACGAGGCACCAGGAGGTCATGAGGACCTCCGGGTAGCGTGCTGAGGACAAATCGATGCCACAAGGCGCGTCTCTTTCCCCTGTGGAACTCTTCGGGGCCGAGTACCGCATCGCTTCCCCTGGCAAGGGTCTTGTCCCACCGTCCTGTTTTCTCGTCTCCTCTTCTGCTCTAGCCATCGATCTCTGCTCTAACTCCGCCACGCGTGCGATGGCAGCCTCCGCCACGGCAAGCATTTCCCTCTCGGTCTCGCAGATACTGTCGTCCGCACACCCGTCCCCTCCCTTCTCGCCTCTTTTCTCCAACATGCCTTCGTAAAATGGTATCATTGCCTCGATCAACAGGGCTAACGCTGGGAAATCCGCCTGACCAATAATCGCCAGGGCCTGTGTGGTGTTTCCAAACAATCCAGCAGGACCCCCGACCAATTGGTGGCACCCATTGACACTCTCCTTCTTCTGTCTCGTTTTGCTGCTGATGCTACCGGAAATGCCACTCTCCCTGTTCCCAAAGCTGTCAATGTCGCTATCGATAATAGTGTCATTGCTGCTACTGTTGCTCAAGTAGTTGGTGGTGGTAGCGTTGCCGTCGGTGCCATGCGTCCTGTTGTCCGCATTGCGGTCATTCCATGCACGAAGTCCAGCTTTGTTGGAACGACGAGAAAGACGAGACAGGGGGGCACGCGTGGAAATCCGAGCCAAGCGGGTCAAGGCCGTCGCAAAATGCGACGCGTCCAGGAAGCTGCTACGATGTCCTTGCCTGGCTTCCTCCACCAGGGCCAACACCTCTTGAGGTGACCTGCTCACTAGAAGGCGCTTGCTCAGCTCCCATGCCTGCATTTCCACGCCCAAATACGTTGACTTTTCCTGTTCCATCTTCCCTTTCCCCTCGTATGCCGCAGCATTACCTCCTCTCCTCTCCCTTCCCCCCGACGCTTCCATCTCCACACGCCCGCCCTCCCCCCCATTCCCCTCGGCCCCTCCAGCCCCTGTCCGATACCCCGCCAGTTCCACTCCTGCTTGTTCTCGGGCTTTTACTTCCAAAACTGCCAAGAGCCTCTCCACAGGTGTCCTTCCTTTCTCTCCCTGGGCGTCCGCATGGGTAAAGCTGACAAGGCCGGCCCATTGGTCCTGCTGGCTCCGCACAAAGCGATGCCGGGCGACGGTGGCCCCCGTCGGACGGGTGGGGTCGCCGTGAATAAAATGCTGGGGGCCATCGATTTCGATGACGAGGGGCAGGCGAGGGCGAAAGGAAGAGGGCGGGGCCGAGGGAGGGATGGAGGGGGGATAGACCACCACGTCGAGGCGGAGGCCGGCATGGCACACTTCGTCTTCGCAGACCAGACCGACCGTCCTCAAGGCATCCAAGACGCGTCGATGTAGGAGCGAGCATGTCAGGGCGGGCACTCGCTCCGTCTCCGCCTGTGGGGCGGGTACAGGTGACGGCCGTCGGACCCACCGAGTCCCCGAGGTCTGCTTGGGCAGAACAAGGGTGCGATCCTCCCGACGAGGAGGGTCCTTTGCAGCGCGTACTTCCCTCTCCAGAGACGCTAGAAGTCGAGCCATGCCAGCCGCGGGACCGACGCGGAATGTCGCACCCGGGCCCCTCAGAAGCGTCAGGGCCTTGCATAATTGTTGGGCATCGGCCACCGCCATTGGCCGGGGCGACGCCGTCCGCTCTGTGCATGCTGCCTGCAAGCCGGCGTTCAGCAAGCCTTCGCTCCCTGGAGGGACGTCCAGGATGGCCAATGCAAGGACAAGAGAAGCGATTTCCCCGGTGGGAAGAATAACACGAGGAAAAGCCAACCAGGCCTCGAAGGTGCTCCAAAACGTCACGCCTGGATCCACATTATACCGAGCAAAATCTCGCACGAGTGCCACTAGGAGCCTTCTTGTCGATGCATGTGTCTGGCGTGCCTTTTTCCAATTGGTCTTCCGGGGGCGTTTGCTCTTCACTCCCGGGACACTGGACGAAGCGGAGGGGTCCAAGCAATCTTTACGAAGTGCGATTTCGAGCTCTTTCTGGAGTATTCCCACAGACTCAGAGCCAGACTTCTTCTTGAGACTCTGTCTCAGATTTGAGGCAATCTTAACGACATGTCGGTCGACACAATCCCGAGAGTTATGGCTGTTATTGCTGCATAATATAGGCGTAGGAGTAGTCACGGGGCTACTGGTGCTCAAGGAAGCAGACAGACGACACAAAGGCTTGAGATCCGTGCTGTCACCACCCACTAACATGATCTTGATGTAATTAGTACACTTGCTTATCGACTGAAAAGGCTTCGGTAAATTGGGCACCGGATTAAAAGCGGCTGCAGGCGTCCATAAGAAGGGTGACGTACCCATCCTGCTCTCCTCGAGCTGCAAGAATAATACCATCAAAGATGCCACAATCCAAGGGGGCCAAGCCTGCCGCCTCCTCATCGTGGCTGCTCAATGTATACTATAAGCTCACATATGTGATTTTAGGCTCGGGCATGTCATCTGTGTTGTGAAGGATGGGATTGAATATCATGTGCGGCGACTCGACGTAATTGAAGTCAAGACTGATAGGAACCCAGAGGCAGTTCGAGACGACTGGATAACTTGGAATATGTGATGAATGAAATCACATTTACGGTTATTCTACAAGCGGGTGCACAACTTTTATCGTCATGGTGGAACTTTTTCGGCATCAGAGTCCTCGAAGATGCACGATTTTTTGACGGCCTTGCCTAACCACCTTCTCCTTCCCATCTGCACCAGCAGCCTCATTTATTGAGACAGGCAATTAATCTTGTGTCGTTATTGCCATGGAAGTTGCGCCCGAACTTGTGCAGGAACGCGGCAAAGCATCCTTTCCTCCCTCGACTTTGACCCAGCTTGTAGACGGAGGAGTGGCTAAAATGGCAAGGCGGCGATGGCTTCGCAGTCTGATTCTATCTGACCCCATATTTAACAATGAAGACAGCATTTATTTGAATCATACAGAGCGATACAAACGTGCATTGTCAAAATGCGGACGCCTCGACCAATTGATCAACAAGTATCGGTTGAACGAAGAAGACAGTATTGTTCTGCGTTCCTGTACCTCGGAGGACCTTCCAACGCTGTTGCACGATTTAATGTTCCTGCCGTGTCTCCTCAGTCTTTGTAGCGAAGAGCAACAAGCGTACTGGGTCCCCGCCGCCCGGAGTAAAAAGGTGCTTGGTTGTTACGCCCAGACAGAACTCGGCCACGGCAGCAACATCCAGGCTTTGCAGACGACTGCCACGTTCGACCCCGCGACTGATGAGTTCATCATGGACACGCCCACGGCGCAGGCGTACAAATGGTGGCCAGGGACGCTCGGCCGGTGAGTGGGGCTGGAGAACAGACACGCAGAGGTTCTGTTTGTGGTGAGGTTGTTCTGTATTCAAGAGATCTCCGGAGCTCTGCTTTCTCAGAGGCTGGGACCTCGTCGTGTAGACTCTTCGGGACTCTGACATCTTTTCGTTCCCGTTCCTCCCTTGGTGCTTGCCCCGTTTATTTTTTCTACCCGTCCAGCACCGCCAACACCGCCATGGTCATTGCCCGCCTCCTCTTACCCCAGGAGTCCTCTTCCTCGTCCCCTGCCTCGTACAAGGACATGGGTATTCACAACTTCATTGTGCCGTTACGCGACCTGCACACGCACGCATTGCTTCCCGGTGTCGTCACCCGGGACATCGGTCCCAAGATTGCTTTTGCTGGGATGGATAATGGCTGCCTGGAACTGCATGCGGTACGCATCCCTCGTGCCAATCTCGCTCAACGATTCGTGCGTGTGACGCGCCAGGGCGTTTGGAGCCGCGTGGAGGGAACGCACAGCAAGGCTGCCTACGTGACCATGATGCAGGTGGGTGTATACAGCGAAAAGAAGACGTGGTTCCTGAGGCGGGCGGGGTGGGGCCCGGGGGATGGCGTGATACACGCTCATGGATAGGACTGACAAGAAAGGTGTCTCGGGGGGGTCGTGAATCATCACAGGTCCGGGCCATCATCGTCGTGCACTCTGCGAGGGAGCTAAGCAAAGCCTGTACAATTGCCATACGATACTCGGCCGTGCGTAGGCAGGGTTTTGATGATTCCAAGACAGGGAGCGAGCTACAGATCTTGGACTATGCGTCCCAGCAATACCGGCTTTTGCCCCTCCTGGCCGCTTCAATTGGGTTTTTTTCTGCGGTCGGGCCGTCCTCACCCTGCTTGCAGAGACGGAAGACGCGTTGCTGAAAGGAAGGAAAGGGCAGGCGGAAGTTGGAGCCCTGATGGGGAGAGCGCATGCAGCTTTGGCGGGGCTCAAGTCCCTCTGTACGACCATTGCTGCGGACGGGATTGAGGAATGCCGCAAATGCTGCGGGGGGCACGGATACTTGGCGTGCTCCGGCCTTCCAGAACTTTCCGGGAATTTTCTACAGCAGTGCACGGTGGAAGGAGACAACGTGCTCCTGACGCAACAAACAGTGGGGTACCTCTTGAAGTCCTACATCAAGTGGAGGACTGGCGGACCGGTCTTGGACGAGGAGTGCCAATATTTCGTCACCGCAGCCGATGGGGCCCACGCAGAAGGTCTCGGAGAGGGGGGGAACGGAGTGCGAGACGAGCCGGCTGTCTTGTCGTTGTTCAGTCGCAGGGCCTTCGCCACGTTGGAGCGCCTCGCCCTCCGGCTCCAAAGCCTGACGGAGGGGGAGGCGTCCTTGAGCCAGGCTGGGGCTTGGAGGAGGGTACTCGTCGATGTCATGTTCGTCTCCAGGTCTCATGCTTTGTACACTGTCTTGAGGCACTTTGCTGCCGGACTGAAGAGCCTGAGAGACGGCAACGACGTGTCGGGGGTGGGAAAGGCAGGGGCAGATGCCGCCTTCATCCGTGTGTTGGAACGCTTGTTCTTCCTCTTCGCCTTCTATCATCTCAGTAAAGAGGCGGGGGATTTCTTGGAACTGGGTTTGCTGTCTCCGGAAACGGTGGCAAGGGTGAGGGGGGAGGTGGAAATACTCTTGGGAGAGGTTCGGCCGGACGCGGTGGCTCTGTGCGATGGGTGGGATTGGGACGATTTCGAGCTGAAAAGTGCCTTGGGCCGGTGGGATGGTAGGTACGCCGAGGCGCTGTTGGCGTCTGCGAAGAAAGAACCTCTGAACCATCAAGACCCGGTGGATGGCTGGGACCGAACGTGGCAACCTCAGTGGAAAGTAGAGGAACAAACGGAACGGGCGCGACTCTAAAGAAAGGAGAAGGAGGATAAGATAGTGCTTGGTGGTGGCGGGCTGCAGGAGAATAAGCTTTCAGAAAATCGACTAGAAAGCACTGCAGGCTCAGAGGGAATAAAGGAAGAGGACTCTCAAAATGGAAGATGGAAGCAATCCGGCAAAGGAACGCCTCGTTGCATAGTCCATCAGCAAAGGGTAACACGTTTGGCTTTATTCCTTTCCAGGGAGTGCGGATAATTCGTCCAGAACGCACGACCGCGGCCAGGCACTTGCGAAATTTCCCCTGCAGGAAAGGTTGACCCCCTTCGCCCTTTCTTAAGCACCCCACCCAGTCATTTAGGTGCCGGCCATCAGCTTCTGCTGCTGCCGTTGTCGAAAAACGTCCCCGCCCCCGACCTCATCATGTCGTCGTCACTATCCCCGCTGTCCGAGTCCCCTCCACCCCCCCATCGGCCCCTTTTCCTCCCCCTCCCCTTCCCCCTCCTCCCCCCCCTCCCCGTTCCCCAACATCTTACTCCCTCCGCTCGACTGTCCTGGTGGCCGAGGTGGCAAAGGGTTGTCTCTGAGTCCCCGGATGATCGTGTCAGGGTCGATGGGTGGACCGGTATGGATGGGTAACATCTGGTAGAGTTTGCGGAGGTATTCGGGGATGCTCTGCAACCGCCGTTGCTGCAAAGCTCTTGCGCCGTAGGGGTCATCCCGACGCCGCGCCTCCCGACTCACGGCAGGCCGTCCCTCCCCGTCCACGCCCCCATCGCCGCCTCCCACGCCATCCCCTCCTCCTTCCCTCCCTCCCTCTCTACCTCCACCAGCATCGTCCCCTGCACCAACCGTTACCTCTCCTCCCGCAGCCGAAGACGCCCCTCTCTTCCCGGGCTTCCTTCCTCTCCTTCCTCCCCCTGTACCCCACCCATCCCTCTCCCCGTCATCCAGCAGCCTGTAGCTCACCGCCGGCTCCTCCCACCTCTGTCTCAACAGGTCGTCCGAACTGTCTTCTACAGGAGGAGTTCCAAACATGTTCAGGCGTCGCCACAGACGCAACAAGGGGTGTGATTCTGCCTGCCGGGGGAAGGCCTCCGCGATACGTTGTTGCACTCTTTCGACCCGGGCGGGGTCCCGGTCGCTCGCCACGCACGTCTCAAATTCCAAGAGTTTGAACCAAATGGGCCGCGCTTTCTCCGCGGCAGCCATGGCCGCGGCTGCCGTCGCCACCTCTTCCCGTTCCCCTCCTGCTCCAGGGCCTGCCGAGACCCCTGCCTCCAACACGGCTAAGGCCCGATCAGCCAAACTGCGGACGTTCTGCTCATCCTGAAGGCGGATCAACACCTCCATGGTCGCAACCACGTACTCGGGCTCCGTGAGAAAGGAGGAGTGCAAGCTGAGACCGTGGTCAAGGACCCGTCGGGCCACCTGCGGCTCGTGGTTCACGTGCTCCTCCAACTGGGCATGGGCCAAGTACCAGTGGTAGGTCAAGACGCCCTTCCGGCGCAAATCCTTGGTGGCGGTGAACACCTTCCGCGCCGCTTCTTTTCCCTGCGTCCGTCGAACGTAGTGTTGGTATGCCACGTACCCCAACGTGCTCGGCTCTTGGATCAGAAAGCCCTTCAAAATCTCGGCCCCCTTGTCCCCTCGGCCCCGGCCGTCCTCAAGCTCTGCCCAAGCCAGATGAAGGAGCAGGCAGTCCGGCACTGCCCGCGCGGCCCGGGCAAAAAGGGACGCGGCGGCCACCACGTCGTCACTTTCCTGTTCGTAGGCCGCAAATTCGTACCAGACCTCGGGGAAATGATAGAAATAGGCAAATGCTTGCCGATAAGACAAGCGGACTCGGTCTTTCAGCGCCACCGGATCCACGTTCTCCGGATTGCTTTTCTCAAAGTCAATTTTGCGCCGCAAGTAGTGAAGTTGCTCCTTCTCCTCTGCCGTGTGGGAGGGCGGGGTCGCCCAAGAGGAAAGTCTCTGCAGGTCCCGGATGGTACGACGTTCCCGCGCCACAGTCTTCGCCTGCTGGTGGCCAGGGAGGAGTTGCGGAAGGGTTTGTCGCGCCGTGTGTTCGTTCAAGCCTTTCTCCCACGCCTCGTACGCCCGCCATAACTCGTCCAACCCGTCGACGGGGACCAGGACGGCCCGGTGGTAGATCCGGCGGAGGGTGGCGATTTTGCTGCCCGCCTCCGCAACCGCGATCCCGCCGTACCCCCCCCAACGCCGCCCTCCCCCCCACCATCCCGCCCATTCTCGTCCTTCCACGCTTCCACGTAACGAATGTAGTCCCACCACAAGGGAGCCGCGTCCACGAGCACCCCCACTTGCCTCACTCCTAGTTCAAAGGCGGCCGTCACACGCGCGCGTTGCTCCGCCACGGCTTCGGGCGAAGCCCCATCCCCGAGCGAGGCCGGATTTGTTTTTCGGACGCGCGCCACGTAGAGGAGGTACAGGTCCACGGAAGGGACCTCCAAGAGGCATTCCCGAAAGATGTCGTCCACCTGGGCCAGATTCCCCTGCCGCAACTCGTGCTCCAGCCAGTCCTTCCAGAGGCTCACCTTCGTAGGGAACTGGCGCGTAGCCAGACGATAAACATCCCGAAGAGCAATTGCACGCCCCGAGCGCTGGGTCTGCGCTTCGCTCAGGAGAGCAGCCCATGACCGCACGTCCCATTCATGCGCCTGGACCTTCGACCATGCATCCCGAAAGCGGTCCGACGCTGACAGAAGCTGTGCCTCGGTGAAAGCAGTAGACAAAGCCAGGCCTCCCAAGCTCTGCCGCCTTTTCACTGAAGTAGGGGTGGGAATGTCGGCGCCCCTAGATGTGATGATGGCTTTTGGCAAAGGAGGAGCGCTGCTTCTTGCACGGCTCACTGCCGTGGTGGGCACGATTTCTTCGTCCTCCTCCTCCGAATCAGAGTCCACTCCCAGGAACGGCGCATTCACTTCGATGGCAGCGGCCATAGGAGGTGTACCTTGCCCGGTCGCACGCGGCCACGGGTAACACTACCTGTGCCTTCGTCTTACCCTACGGAAAGGTTTATGTTGTGAGAAAAGATCAGGATTTTGTGTCCGCGCCTCGATGCTCATCCTGTAAGTGTCACAACAATGCAAAGGCAGAGAGCATGATAAAAAGGATACGATGTATTGATGAAGCCCTTATTTCTTCTGTGTAGGAGGAGGGTTTAGGCTTTTTTGGTCGCCTCATCTTACGGAGAGCGACGACGGCGAGACGCGCGTTGGCTGCCGTTGCGAATAGATATGGGCCAGTACGCCGACTATAGTTGCTAGCATGAAAAATAAAGCACACAGGGACAATACGACCCATACATATTTATCAGGCACGTCATGCTGCAAGCCAAGCGCCAAAACTTTGGCGGGAAAGCAGGTTTGGTATAAAAATCCTCGTGGAGGGAGGAGGTTGGACCCCTGACGTTCCATAAAGCAATTTCTTTATTACTACCGACGAAAAAGTTTGCGAGGCTCCATGGCTATCATCGATCATTTGCTTCTCCTTCATTGCTGCGGTGGTTCATTAAAAGGCACTATACGGCAACATCACACCAATTTTTCAAGTCATGCGTGGGACAAACAATGTCCCCTACATCAAGTGTTCATATCCTTCTCTGTTCGACACCTGAGCATAATTAGGCTGTTTTCCTGTCATAACGCTTCCTATCTTTCTCTAGATGCCCTTTCCCGATCGCACATCTGTCTAGCCTGTGCATCATGCAGTCTACTTATTCATAAATGTATTATTTAAAAAGTCATCATTTGGAGACATGTCCACCTTCATATCCCTAATCGTCAACAATGAGAATCTGCCATGTCATTCTAGAACTTCGGCTTTCATTTCCATCCATTTCAGACTCAAAAAAGGTGCCATTGTGTTTCAATTGCACTCGTACGTAGCTGTTTCCATATTGAAACCCTGTCCCCAAAGTCATCGCTGATTCCAACCCCGTAGCCACAAATCTGTCAACTCCATGCATTGTCTCCTGCCTTCCTTCGTTGCGCGACATACTTGGCCCCCTAAAACTCTCCTCTGGCCTACCGAATCAGAGTCGGACTCGTCTGCCATTCCAAAGTCTTCGCCTCTAGAAGAGCCTCCGCAATTTTCACCGCTTTGGCATTACCCTTTATGTTTACTAGTCGCTCTGCCGCCGGGGGGCTTGCCTCCCGAGTAAATTCCACTTTTGCCCCGCTTTTCTTCTCAATCGCGATGACATTAATGCCCGCCTTTCCGATCAAAAAGCTCACGGCCTTGTTGGGGACGAGCACGTGCACGACTTGGTACGCCCCCCTCCCATTCTCCGTCACCTCGGATCCTGACCACTCCTCCTCCACGCTCTCGCTTCCTTTGGCATCCCAGGCGAAGCTGTTCTCTCGCATCTCCCGCTCCTGCTCCTTTACCCTAGCCATCATCATCATCACGTCCCCCGCCCCCCATCCGTCCCCTTTCTCTTCCTCTCCGCCGTTCCCTCCTTTCTCCACCCTCGTGTCGCCCCCCCCCAAAAAAAACGTGCTTCTCCCCGTGAACCATCCCCCTGGATCCGCTTGGGAGGGAAGAAGGAGCGAGGAGGCCGACAAAAGATCGTCGGGAGAGTTGAACTGCCGGTACTGCCGCGTGCCGAACGGTTGGTCGCTAAACGAGTCAAACGACAAGGGGGTTTGACCTTCCCCCATGTCTCCGCCCGCCGCCGTTACAGGGGGGAATGAAGGCACAGAGACGCTATGGCTGCTGTTGCGGGTAACCATCGATCCCAGGTGTTTGCCAGAGGGAAAGGCACGCTCTCGATCGCCAGGAACGGGCTTCAGGCTGCTCCTCTCCTCCCCTCCCTTCTCGCCCAGGGAGGCTTTCGCGACAAACACCGGTGCTTGTCCCGAGAGGTGGGAACGAGGGGGGACAAAGAAGGGAGCCGGCGAGCGAGAGGGCGACAGGGCAGCAAGCCCCAGGCGCGTCCCGTCCCCCCCCATGACCCGCTCTCTCCCCCCCATGCCGCCGTGCTCGCCTACCTTGACCAACTTCTGTCGGGCGCTGAAAACGT